GGGGCAATCAGGGCCACTTGGGGCAATCAGGGCCACTTGTGGGGCGATCAGGGCCACTTGTTGGGGCAATCAGGGACACTTATTGGGGTGATCAGGGACACGGGGGCAATCAGGGCCACTTTAGGGGCGATCAGGGACACTTTAGGGGCGATCAGGTGTCACTGAGGTGGAGGGCAGTTAGCTACAACCCTCTTCTTTGCTGTTTCTCCTCTCACAGACAACTCCTTGAGATGAGAAGGAGGCGGAAGCCGCACCATGCGGCTTTTGTTTACACTTAAGCTGTGTCCTTATTGGACACAGCTGATCACATGGTATGGGGACCGATTTCATTGGTCCCATACCATGTCACGTAATCCACCGTGTCCGTCGGACTCGGCGATCATCGGGCTCGCGGGTGCGCGCTCTAGGAGCCGAGCACGAGCCTCAGATACAAGGTGCCGTTTAGAGACGGCAACCCGCTCCTGTAGGTGTCCCGTCCTGCCGTTTATAAACAGCGGCCGGACGGGAAGTGGTTAAAGTTGTTAAAAGACCACTAAATACTTCCTCTTATAAAATCTGCCTCACTTCCTCCACTTCTACAGCAAACCATTTGAGCAGAACTCATTTCTCTGTGCCTTATGTATGGCACCACCTCTTCAACAATACACGTTTGTTGGCGAGGCCAGGAATAGGGTACCCAAATTAGGGAAGCAGCACACAGAGTCCACAAAGGATTAACAGTTGCTGTATTTAGAAGAATGCAGGTTTAGGAAGTAACCAGGTTGCATGAAGAACACAGATGCTAGCACTTTATAGCAACAAGTGTGGAACACTCATAGGCAAATATTCCGGAACAATTGCAGTAACCGGTATGATTACCACCCCACTCACAGCACAGTTCTCAGCAGGGTGTTATCATAGTCCTTAACAGCACAGGGGTAATAAGGCAATACAACTAAGCCAGCCAGTAGCAGGAACATTCAGCCCTTCATCAAGGACATGGAGCGCTATATGCTCAGTCACAGTAGGCCACACTACAGGCACAGTCTACATCCCCTACTCTTTCCCTTCTCACACTGAAACCTCTCCATAACAATAATCCTCTGTTCCTGTCAAACACACTTCCTCTCCCTACACTGTCCACCAACAAACGCGTGTAATTCAGGAGCCCACAGAGGACATTAGCAGGAGATGGAAAAACACATAAAGAAACAATTTAATGAAAAATGAATTACAGGTCTATTAAAGTGAAACTATACTGCATCCGAGTACCACTCACCCATCCATCCATGTCTCCAGGCTTAATTTTGCCAAGAAATCACTTTGAAAATACCCCCAGGCATTTTTAGCAGTGGCGATCTTGAGTAAGGGCAGATGATTCATGTAGCATTTACTTCCAGGAATCCATCTTCCCTTAGCTTAGGCATGCAGGCAGGAGAGTGTGTGCTTAGCTGAGAAACGTCCTCCTCCCCTCCTGAAGACTCCTGGGATGTATGACATCATTTACCTAGGCCAGAAACCAGGAAGTAACTTAGGAAAGGTTAAAAAAAAAGTTTAAAACAAGTAATATACAGTACTTTCCTATCTACAGTATTTACTAATGTTAACAGCATAAGGATTAAAAATAGTCAATGTTGATTGAGGGAGTGAAGTTCCACTTTAAGTAGCAGAGGTGTATGGATTATTTTGACAAGGATTTTGTTTAGTGTCACTTTTATGTTAATGGTAATGATGGCATTTTCTTTTCCATATTGTTTAAAATATATTTTGTAATAGATGTATTGGTATTGGTATTGACCTACAATACTAATCATACAATTATGATATACTATAGTAATATAATATACACTGCTGAAAAAAATTAAAGGAACACTTTGAAAACACATCAGATCTCAATGGAGAAAAATATCATGCTGGATATCTATACTGATATGGACTGGGTAATGCAATAGGAACATAAGAATGCCCACTGTTTGATGGAAATTAAAATTATCAACCTACAGAGGACTGAATTCAAAGACACCCTGAAAATCAAAGTGAAAAAAATGATGCTCAGTCATTTGTATGGCCCCCATGTGCTTGTATGCATGCCTGACAACATCGGGACATGCTCCTAATGAGACGCCATGTGCGGTGTGGCCAGCATGAAAGGAATATAGCACATATAACTGAAGCGCTCCAGGTGCCATCTGGTGGGTGCTCTGTAACTAAATCTGAATGAAATCATGATACAAAACAGCAGTAAATATAGCACTGACAAGATGCACAAATAGAGCCCAAATCATCTGGGGGATATACAGTGGGGCAAAAAAGTATTTAGTCAGCCACCAATTGTGCAAGTTCTCCCACTTACAAAGATGAGAGAGGCCTGTAATTGGCATCATAGGTAGACCTCAACTATGAGAGACAAAATGAGAAAAAAAATCCAGACAATCACATTGGCTGATTTGGAAAGAATTTATTTGCAAATTATGATGGAAAATAAGTATTTGGTCAATATCAAAAGTTCATCTCAATACTTTGTTATATATCCTTTGTTGGCAATGACAGAGGTCAAACGTTTCCTGTAAGTCTTCACAAGGTTGGTCACACTGTTGCTGGTATGTTGGCCCATTCCTCCATGCAGATCTCCTCTAGAGCAGTGATGTTTTGGGGCTGTCGCTGGGAAACACTGACTTTCAACTCCCTCCAAAGGTTTTCTATGGGGTTGAGATCTGGAGACTGCCTAGGCCACTCCAGGACCTTGAAATGCTTCTTACGTTGCTCCTTCGTTGCCCCGGTGGTATGTTTGGGATCATTGTCATGTTGGAAGACCCAGCCACGTTTCATCTTCAATGCCCTTGCTGATGGAAGGAGGTTTGCACTTAAAATCTCACGATACATGGCCCCATTCATTCTGTCCTGTACATGGATCAGTCGTCCTGGTCCCTTTGCGCAGAAACATCCCCAAAGCATGATGTTGCCACCCCCATGCTTCACAGTAGGTATGGTGTTCTTTGGATGCAACTCAGCATTCTCTCTCCTCCAAACACGACGAGTTGTGTTTCTACCAAACAGTTCTATTTTGGTTTCATCTGACCATATGACATTCTCCTGGATCATCCAAATGCTCTCTAGCAAACTTCAGACGGGCCCGGACATGTACTGGCTTAAGCAGGGGGACACGTCTGGCATTGCAGGATCTGAGTGCCTGGCGGCGTAGTGTGTTACTGATGATAGCCTTTGTTACGTTGGTCCCAGCTCTCTGCAAGGTCATTCACTAGGTCCCCCCGCTGGTCCTGGGTTTTTTGCTCACCGTTCTTGTGATCATTTTGACCCCACCGGGTGAGATCTTGCGTGGAGCCCCAGATCGAGGGAGATTATCAATGGTCTTGTTTGTCTTTAATTTTCTAATTATTGCTCCCACAGTTGATTTGTTCACACCAAGCTGCTGGCCTATTGTAGATTCAGTCTTCCCAGCCTGGTGCAGGTCTACAATTTTGTTTCTGGTGTCCTTCAACAGCTCTTTGGTCTTCACCATAGTGGACTTAGGAGTGTGACTGTTTGAACTTGTTATCAGTATAAAAGACACCTGTCCACAACCTCAAACAGGTGCCATTGATACAGGTAATGAGTGCAGGACAGAGGAGCCTCTTAAAGAAGAAGGTACAGGTCTGTGAGAGCCAGAAATCTTGCTTGTTTGTAGGTGACCAAATACTTATTCTCCACCATAATTTGCAAATAAATGCTTTCCAAATCAGCCAATGTGATTGTCTGGATTTTTTTTCTCATTTTGTCTCTCATAGTTGAGGTCTACCTATGATGCCAATTACAGGCCTCTCTCATCTTTTTTAAGTGAGAGAACTTGCACAATTGGTGGCTGACTAAATACTTTTTTGCCCCACCGTACATACATCTGTATTCACCCATATTATTATTACAGATTATACAAAATAAAATAAAAGGGCCCTATCTGAGGCAGACTACAAAAATATTAAAAACATAATGCAAACAAAATAAATCATTAGAAAAATGTGACAAGACCACCAACCTAAATATTACATTAAAAAAGTTAAACACTAACAAAATCAAGAAAAACCCCCAAAAAAATGTTTATTTATAAAAAATATATATATAATTAAAACTGAAATAAAGAAGGAAACCAAGGTTGGAAGAAAAGAAGGAGGAGGGAGAGAGGAGTGGGAGAGTAATTGAAAAACGATGGAGACATCAAATGGCAAAAAAAGGGGTAAAGCTCAAGCTTTCATTAAGGCCAGGCCTCAAGCTCCCATATCCATCTTGCTTCATGTTGGAGAACTAATCTATCAAAACCCCCTCCTCCTCTCACGGATCACTACTAATTACTTGTTTATTAGACTTTGAAGCTTTTTTCTTTGGGAGTTGCAATACATCATACTACTGGTGACCTGTAACAACCTCATCTAGATACACTTTGACTGTTAATTTAGATCAGTGGTCTCCAAATTGTGCCTGGGGGTCTGGACGTGGCCCTTCGCTTGCTTTTATCCGGTCCTTCAAGCACTTTTTGTCCCACTGATGCAAGACACTATTTCTGTTACTGACACCAAAAAAGGAACATAATTACTGTTACTGACATAAAAAAAATGGGGCACTATTTCTCCCATTGACACCAATGATGGGGCACTATTCCTCCCCCTATTGCCAAAGATGGATTATTTACTCCCACTGACAGCAATACAATTTATACTCTCAATGGCCACAGTCCGGCCTACCTAAAGTCTGAAGGACAGTAAACTGGCCCTTTATTTAGAAGGTTTGGAAACCCCTGATTTAGATAATCAGAGCAGATTACAATTATTTTTACATTATTTGGCAGTTTTAGAACTCTAAAATCATGGATGTTTAAAGCAGCCCTTGAACATATTATTTGTAATTGCAAAAACATTGGTATCCCTAGCATTCATTGCTGTACAGATTCTTTGGCTTATATTGGTGTCACTGTTGCATAACAAGGTATAAGACCTACAGGGTAATACGGTTTGTCTTTTTTTTCTGTTTAGTTGTTATGGGTCCTGTCACATCGACAACAGTGGTATTGACGACCTCCTTCAGTGATACACCTACGTCTTGTATGTGTCCAGTCTGTCGCCAGAATGTAGTGTCAAGAGTGGAGTATAACACAGGCCTCCTCACCTGGCTTATCTTTGGCATTCTGCTTCTTTTCGGGTAAATATCACAGCCTGGATCTGAGTACAGTTATTAATTTACCAAGTGCAAAAAATACAAATGTGTATTCATTTTATTAACTTATACTGTATATAGCTTACTCTCACAGCATGCAGTATTTCTAGCAAACCACCAAATACACAGAATAAATACATTCAAGGCAGTTGTTTTATGTGGACATTCACTTCTGAGATTTACGGAATGAGTGGATGTTTTTTTAAAAGTCAACATCTACGGTTTTTGTAGCTAATACAGTATATAGAAACATTTTGTGAGCTGCTATTCTGAGTGCAAATACCAAATAATAATATGAACAATATATATATACTGTGTAAATAATTGTGAATCGCTCACACCATACACATACCCATACAAATGTGTTAATTATAATTAAATAGCAATATAGAGCCACGCTCCACTATCAATAAATAAACAACTTAAATCATCTATCAAATGATCTATTAAATAAGTGTCCATGCAGGATCCATGATTGTTTCCATCCACTATTATTTAGAAATGGAATGCTTCTTAGTTCACCTTGTATGATATATTCAAACCAATATGTGTACACCTCCACTGGTTGTGCTCTCACCTTGTGTATATGACCAAACATCTAAGTAAGGTCAAATACAGCATGTGCCCCTTTATTGGTCTGTGGTGGGATGGTAATGCTGTCCAGTGGGTCTGGGTCTCCTTCACTGTCCTAGTAATCCTCCTGCTTCATTATCTCTGGTTCCTACTGAGCCTTTAAATCTTGCTGTGCAAGGCAGCATGGGACTTGTAGTTCTCTCTCTGGGGTCCAGAGGCAGCTGCTGCCTTCCTTGGTTGCTTCAGGTTAGCTCATTCCTAGTCCTAGCAGCTTAGTACGAGATGTATGTACACACTGAGCCTTGAACTCCAGGCTCAGTGTGTAGATACATCTAAGCTGTCCACCAAATACAGAGAATAAATAGTCACCTCCCCCAAGGCGGCATTCCCATAGCTGAACTCAATGCGAAGCCCTTAGGGAGGGACCTGTATGCTGTCATGTATGTGCATCAGGAAAGGAAAATTACCGTCAGGTAAGTATACAATTTTCTGTTTTCCTGACACAAGCCTGACAGCATAAACGCATGAGATATAGCATGCCACAAACCACAAGGGAGGGTAATAATGAAGAATTTTAATCAACATATCATTAGATTCATTTAAAACTGAAACCAAACTCCCTGTTGTTGTCAATATTGTTTTACCAACTTTGTAATGGACTAGAAATACACCCTATGTAGATTCTGTTACTGTCCTGCAGAAAATATGTACCTCTGAATTTTACCCATGAGCGCGCAATCCAGCTGGTAAAGTGGGCTCTGCACTCAATTGATGGATTCATCTTTGCCCTATGAGCTCATCAGACTACCTTGACCAGCGACAATGGAATTGTTCTAGGGGACAGTGAAAGTCTTCTTCTGACACTGCTAGACTTGAAGAGCCCATTGTCTGACCTTCTGGAGAAGGGCCATGTATTTTTTCAACCTCAAGTCCACTTCCAATGCTTGTAGTGACTTAGACAATTCAGTTTGGACATGCTGGAAGGATAATGTCTTGATCCAGATGCAAAGATTTGCAGACCTTTGTTTGGTGCTGAAGAAGAAACTAGAGCTATTCTGTTTGATAATGGTAGCAATAAGGTAGTTTACAACTTGACACTTGGATAACTAAGATCCTTCTTCCAGACCTGGTAGCCATAAGAAATACTGCTTCAGTGTTACTGAAAATATAGAGGAAGTCTTATCCAGGAGAATGGAGAGTGGGCCAATATCGCCAGCACTATTTGCAGTGCAAGTCCCAAGGGAAGAGAACAGCCTGCACAGGCCTTTCAGAATTGGTTTACCAAGATATGCAATGGTCACTGGATCCCAGAAAGTGAGAACATGACAAAGGCTCGACTACCACTTAATCTTATATTTAGGCTTATTTGCATATTCCATATTCTAATATACATGAAGTTTGTAGCAGGTGCCCTGGCTTCAACAGGGTTTCAAATACTGAAGGTGAGACCCTCAGGTGAGCCTTCACCTCTTGGTCTCTAGCAGTTAGATTGGCTGAATTTGGCCACGCTGTGTAAGATCTGGAATCTTGTAAGATCTTGGGAGGAGAATTGGAGGTTCCTGGACTAGAGACTGTGCTTTAGGATACCATGGCCTGCAAGGCCACCCAGAAATTATTGTCCTAATCATAACTGGGCGACTGCAGATCCTGATGAGGAACATGGAGACCACTAAATCTGCTGGATATATACTGTATATAGACTAGCCTGCATCCAATTGGATGTTAGTAATTCCACTGCTTCCACCTTTGGGAAACTCACTCACTTGCAGGAATCAACTGCCATTCATAACCATAGAGGTTACTTGTCAGGTTGAGATCCTGATAATCTAATTTGTTGTAGATCCATTGAACTGCTTGTTGGTTTAGAGATGAACCCTTGACATCCAAGGCTTTGTATCTTTCAAAAAGTTCTTGGCAGCTAGAAGGACTGGCAAATCTGAATGGGAGATACCTCTGATATAAGTTGAATATTCTTGCATTCCTTCTTGACAGCGAAGATAGGACATTTCAATTTGCTGTCTGTTTGGCGCATAACTGAGGCTCTTTAGGCTGTGTTGCCAAAACAACTTCAATGCCTGGGAGTCAACTCTGATATTGGACACTCTGTCCTCCATTGGCATAAGTCATTGACCTCGGACTAGGAGGTTATTGAGGTGAATATCCAACAAAGTGAATAGATTGTGACGATCAGTATGCAAGGTAGCTGAAAAGATTAACTGGTTTTAGCCACCACCAAACGGACGTGTCTCACATGTGGGGGGTCACTGCTTCTGGTGCAGAAACGATATCTTCAATTACTTTAGAAAACCTGATTATATAAGGTTCTCAACCTTTCAATGATTCCAACAGACCACATGGATTACTGCAGACTACTTTTCTGCCATTTTGAGATCATGGCATGCAAACAGATGGGATAGAGCTATGACTTGTTCCAAGCGAGATACTAATACTGTCACCTTCTCTGAGGGCAACTCTACAGTAGTCTCCTGAGTGTCCAGGACTACTTCCAGGAGTATCATTATTGTAATGAAATTAGTTGGCCTTCCCCAGTTTATGACCCATCTACATTTGAGTGTGAATCAGAAATTTTGCCAGGACCTGGAGGATGTTGAGCCACCAGTAGGCTGTTCAGAATTGCAAGATGGCCACTACTGGAAGTAATGTTCTGCAAAATGTTTTGGGTATGTGGAAAGGTCAAATGCTGTTGAATTAACTTGAAGTGAAACTCGAGAACAGCCAAGCAAAGATTCTAGCAGGAGCATGGATGTACAGAAATGTGTATATACACATCTGCTAGCTCTAAAGACAACCTACAGCTGCCTTATCTGATAGCTTGAGTGACTGACTGCAACCACTCCATATGAAGCTTTGGATCTTGAGCCTTCCTTCTGCTTCATGCCCAAATCTACTTTTCGATTAAGAACAATGGAGAATATAATCCTTGACATCTTCTCTGCATAGATGGCTCACTGTTGAAACAAGATTTAGTAATATTTGCTTCCTTATTGCACAGGACCCACAGATCCTGAACCTACTCTGTCCAAATCTGCATATATTCCTGAAATCCAACACCTGAACAACCTTGGGTGAAGAAGAACTTTGCTGCTCCTAGGGAGGAGCAGACTTGGATTTAGGCAAATAGAGAAAGATGATTATGGGTTCTTTCATTCTCTTCTCAGGTCTACCTTGTTATCAAATCTTCATTCCCTGGCCTTTGCCTAGCCTCTGGGCATTGGCAACTTAACATAAGGGATTAATCCCCATTCTAGACATCACTGAATCCAACTTGAACTGCAGTCAGTTCAGCTTAGAAGCGGTATATGCAGTCTGTAAGTAAATCCATAGGGCTCGATTGACCACCACGGAATACTAGAGGAATAGCATATTGCATCTATAGTGGCTGTACTGCATCACTGGCCACATTAGTTTCTCTCAGGGATCAAACACCATAGAGACTTCATTACTGGACACGTTTTGCCTTCATCTCATCTGAAATAGTCTTGGATACTGTAGTGAGCACCAACGCAGACCACAAAACACTGCCTAATGATAGTATAAACCTTCTCCATTTCCAAATCCAGTTTTCTGTTCTGAGGCCTCTGTAAAGGATGTTGCTTCATCTGCTGGCTACTCTGTTTAAGATTCCTTGGCCAACTTTCTGTGAAGTAAAAGTGGACTTTACAGAGAGGATATTGCACCCTCTGCTAGCAGGAAGACACATCTGGCCAGTCTGATGAAGACTGCTTGACCAGCTGTTTCTGAGTCAGGTGTACCCTTTAAACAAACTTAGTTGTTTGATTAGCTTAGTACCTGAGCGTTAGCGACTAGACATCCATCCAGCCAGTTTAAACAGTCAAAACATTCACTTTGTCTTCTGCTGCCTCTGATACGTAAACCTGGTGTAAAAGGATGACATATCTGGCCATTCTGATGAAAACTCCTTGGCCAGTTTCTTCTGAGGCTTAGGTGGCCTTTAAACAAATGCAGCTGTTTAGTATATAACAATTAGTATCTGACAATCAGGCTTAGTATCTGACAATTAGTGACTATAGATCTTTGCAGTCAGTCTGATCAAAGTCAGAACATCTGCCTTTTTTGCCTCCTTATTCACTGCTGCCTCTGACATGCATTTTGACCTAGCATCTTGGCAGGCAAGCCAGCTAAACACAAGCCAAATACAGCTCAAGATGATCATTGTAGTGTGATTTCCTTTAGCCTGCCTCTCCTAGCAGTGCTATGAATGCATAGAAGTTCCTTCAGGGCTAAAGAGGACTTGTCATTGTTGAAGGAACAGGTTTCCTCATTTCTTCTTGAGAAGTGGTGCTGGTGTTGAGGGCTGGAGAGATTTGTAATCCATTATGCCCATGATGTGCACTCTTTTTTAGGCTAGAATATACGTACCTGACCCTCACCTTAATGATCATGGCTGGTCTCTAGGTAAGCTCATGGTTACTGGCTCATAGATGAGCTGAAGGACTGCAGTCATAACAAATACCTGGGAGTACTGGCCAGTATACTAGCATTTATATACTATTAGTATTGAGGTGATTGTAGCCGTAAGCCCTAAAAATTGTACAATACAAGTGGTAATTCACACATCCATCTGCAGAACATTGAAAGGTCAAAGCCCCACTCAAAACTGCAATGGGAGCTGTCTGAAATTAGCCACAGCGTCCCAAGATCCTCATCCAACCAGTTATCTGCAACCAGTCGCAGCGCTAAAGGCTGCCAAAGCAAAAGGACCCCTGTGCAAGTGTGGGCAAGGTTTGAGGCACATTAGAAAGAAGAATTACAGATTGCTGTCCAACAGGCAAAGTACTAAAGGCAATGCAAACTAAACAGAGCGCTGAAATTCACTCAGGCATTAGAACTTTAATGTATAGCAGTCATAAAATGCTCAGCAATAATTAGTACTGAAGAGTTAATAGGCACTGTTGAGTTAATAGGAAAGACTCAACTCTGCAATAGCAAACACCTGTACTATCAGCCCATAGCAATACTGCAGACACAAATCACAACCTGTGAGGCATTGACAAAACAGACAGAACTGTGAACTGTTTTAAAGGTGCCTCCAACCATGAACATTTTGCTTTTATCTCATTAGAATGATAAAAAGTTCAAAGGGATTTTTAAAAAAATATTTACCACGTGTTTTTGCAATATGTCAGAAAAAATAACTAAATTAAATTAATTTATTTTATTTTGTATTGCAGCTGTTGGCTGGGATGCTGCCTCATTCCCTTTTGTGTGGACAGCTGTAAGGATGTTGACCACTTCTGTCCAAACTGCAATCATCATCTGGCAAAGTATAAAAGGCTATAAGGAATGCCTGAAGACGCTACTTCATATTTTTTAAGAATATTATTGTCTGTCTGGCTTCTTATTTCCAAAAATTGCAAGGAAATTAAGCAATCATTTTTAAACATAAAAGTCAATGCCTCTATACATTTTTTTTATTGGTCATGTACCTAATGGATTTTATACATTGATTTAAATTGCTTCTTGGATTTTACACAATGATTTATGTTGGTGTGAAAAATGTCTTATTATGAATTTTTCCTTTAATTTCAAACTATCGTTTAGTTTTATAAAGAAAACCTTAAAATTACTTTGTGTGACACGTTTGTTTGATGAAATATTTGTTTGGGTTAATTTGTAGGGTTATTTGTTTTTCCGTTCAATTTTTCCAAATTATAATTTAAGCATGTGTTAGTACAGTAATGATGGTGGCAAACAAGAAATAACAAGGAAAATATAAGAGTCCAATTGTCCAGTAGGGGGTGCCATTTTGAAAAAATAGTGTTTTAGGGAACAATAAGGGTAACAATCCGCACGAACAGGGCAGATAGTTCACAAGGTTCCAAATAGCAACATTAGATTTGGCTGGGCTGTCAGAAAGAGCACAGGGGGAAGAAAGAAAAAAATGAGGGGGGATAGAGGAAGGCAGCAGGGGAAGGGAAGATTTTGTGGATAGATATGTAAGTTTTGTTATGTGATCAAAAGATCCTGGTCAGTCCCCTCCGGGAGGTCTGAGGGTCTCTGTATATCCAGAAATTGCTAAACCTCGACCAGGAGCTTTTCATGGACATTGCTAACCCTGGATTTGGCTTCAGTCAAAGATAGTGTAGGGGTCTGCCATGCCTTTTCGACTGTTTGTTTTGCTGCTGTAAAGCAGTAGCAAGGCATTCTTGTTTATACATGCGAGTGGAAAGGCTCATTTCACCTTTTCAGACAGAAATTCAATTTTCATAATAATTAGAAGCATTTTCTTTTTTTAAATCAGATAATTTTTATTAGAAACAAAAACAGTTTCCATACACATTTAAGTTTTTGTTTTAACAGAACAATACAAGAACAACAGAACAAGAAAAAAATGTAAGTGAACAAACACTTATATAGGACCGACTTGTAGGTCGACCTTTTCAATGTGACAGAAGATGAGCACTAACCTCCGAAAAAAAGAAAAAAGAAAAAGAAAACCTTTCAGTAATCTGACTGCCCCAGTGCCAACCCAACAGTCAACAACCCTCATTTCCAATTATACTTAAGAAGGAGGACCACATAATAAGGAGACAATCATATTATAAAATACAATTAAGCCACAACACCCATCAGGTCTCTGTTTCTCAAATATCAAGCACATCCTTAATGAGAGACAATTCACTAACTATATCTACAAAAATCTGAAAAATGCAGTCATTATTTCTCAGCTGCCCAAATACCGATAGGTACCGGTATATGTCACAATTATATAGTCATAGTACCCGTTAGATCAGAGCTACTGGAGAGCCCCCGTTCAGTAATCTATCTTTGACCAGGTAAAGCAGTGCTAGGCCTGGGACACTCAGCCAAGCCTTCCAAAGTTTAATTAATTTACCTGCACACCTCCTATGTTGAAAGACTAATTTCTCCCAATGTAACATGTCGTTGACAGCTTTGACCCAACCCGATCTAGAGGGCAGGGTAGGAGACAGCGAACATTGAGCTATGAGTTTCCTAACTACAAATAAAAGGCAGAGAACAGCAGTATATACATGGGGATCACAATTCTCCTCGTCCAGCCAGCCCAATAAACAGTTTCGGGTCTAAGGGTAGGAATGTTTGCTGTGCCCTTGCAATAACTGACAGCATATGCCCGTCTTTTCCCCCTCCTCAAAAAAAAGCCTGAGAGGTGAAGAACCGCTTATTGTCCGCTTGCTGAAGTTGCACAGTACACAGGAACTGCTGGGATGATACCCACTCCTGCTCTGTATCAGGGTTAGGATTATTAACATAAACTTGTTATGCTCTAGCAATAGATCGCTCAGCATCAACCTCCCACTGTTTGGAATTATTCTTAATACTGGAAATTTCCTCGATACACAACCCTCTAATAAAAGCTTTCAAAGTGTCCCACACAATCATTGGATATGGAGAGTGTCCATTATCAAGTAAAAAGCTTCTCAACTGATTGTGTAAACGGTCCATATCTGTAAAAAGGGTAATCCAGAAGGGATTGAGCTTCCATAATGTGGATACATTTGACCTGTTTAGAGACATTGAGAGGAGCAAGGGGGACTGGTCTGAAAGTCCTCTGGCTAAATAAGATATCTGTGGAGTAAATGTCATAGACATGTCGGAGTCCAATGCAAAATCTATATTGGACAGGGAAGAATGGGAGCTAGAGTGGCAAGAGAACTGGGCCTCCAGGGAGTGAAAAGTATGCCACAAGTCCTGGAAGCCAAGTTCCTTAATATGTCATGAAAAGGGAGTGGGTTGTCTAGGACCCTGGGGAGAGTATTGTTTAAAGAAATCCAGGGAGGTATCTAACACAGTAATAAAGTCCCCTACAACTAGATATTGGTGTTTTCGGGAATGCAGCTATAAATCGAAACAGACACTTCACAATCTCCATAGAGATTGGCGGAGGGATATAAACATTAACAAGAACACACAGCTAAGAATTCCAATTCCAATGTAAAAAAGCATAATGTCAATGTGAATCAACTTGTGAGGAGAGAACCATAAATGGTACCCCTCTAGCCACCATCACGCTCACACCCCTTGAGTATTAAGAGTGTGTGGCATGAAGCTGGATAGGAAACTTGGATTGAAGACATACAATTGAGGGGGAATGACAACAGATGAAAACTGCAGTCCTCTTTTTCAAATCATGCAACCCTCAGACATTCCAGTAGAGGATAGCATCCCTTTGTTTACTCATGATATGCTAACAGAGTATAAACCCATTCAGGAGAAAAAAAAAATATAGTGGGCAGGGGCTGATGTTCCAATCACAAATATTCTGGCAGATATTGCTTACAAATCTTCTCCAATGAAGAAGACCCCTCCAAAATGGCCTGTAGTCCTCTTGGTGAGACATTGAGAGGGAGGTAATATTGGCCTGTCACAAAGACAACAAGGGGCCAAACAAAAAAGTAAAATTTAAATATGCCCTGCGGGGTTACATAGGGGGGGAAACAAAAGGGCTAAAGCCAATTGTCTGAATGGTTTGACCATGTGAGTTGTACTTTCTTGTGTGGTAAGATAACTCACTTTCCTCAATTCCGCTTTCTTAACTCAGGAGACATTGTAAACAAAAAAACCATTACGATCTAGCCAGTGAGCCACAGCATTTGGCAAATGAAAGAATTGTATGGTTCCGTCAGCCACCACTCGAAGCTTGGCAGGATAGAGAATGGAATAGGACACTTGGATTGCTTGCAGGCGGTTTTTAACATCCACAAATCTAGCTAGTTTATGCTGGACTTCAGCAGAGAAGTCTTGAAAGATAGATATTCTCCCACCATGGATTTCCAGGCGTGGTTGTTGCCGGGCAAGTCTAAGGATAATGTCTCTATCTTTATAGTGTAGAAGCTTTAGCAGAAAGGGTCTGTCTGGCCCCCCTGGTGGTGGGGGACGAGATGGCACCCTATGGGCTCTTTCCACAGAAAAAAAAGGGGTAAGATTATCTTTATCAATAAATTCTACAGGATCTTTACCCTCTGCCTTCTCCTGTAAACCGACCAAATGGAGATTATTTCTGCGGAGGTGATTCTCCATGTCGTCGATTCTGGCTGAGTGCTCTGAAGTCTTGACAGTACTAGAGCTCACATCCTGTTGTAAGGGAGGAAAATTATCCTCAATGGTGCTTATTCTACCCTCCAGAGCAGTGGCCCTTTCTCTGACTTTCTGCATGTCATGGCGGATAAACAGAAGATCTTCTTTCATACTCTTAAATTCCAACATGAGCTGGCTTAGGGAAGTGCCATATGTATGTACTGCCGTCAGAATTTCCTTGAGAGATGGCTCTGGAAAGTTTGAGTTGTCTACCCGAATGGTATTAGAGAGTGGGGGCTGACTTGTACTCACTGTTTCAGGAGCAGGGGAGGATGAAGTCGAGGCCATCGGGCTCCCTTCCGGTGGAGAGACCCCATAGCAGTTTGCTTCTCCACTTCATCCTGCTGGGTAGGTGGTGGAGACCGTTCCTTGGTGGCTGTGTGGGCGAATTTGCCCAGTTTAGCTGCTATGTCTTTCTGGAGGTCTTTTGATGGCCGTTGAGGAAACAGATCCCCACCATGTTGAAAAGGCTGCGGAGCCGCGACTCCATCCTCCTTTTTATTTTGTCATGGCTGCCCCTCTCCGAGGTCGCGACGGTAACAGGATGTGGCTGTGAACAAGGTCGACCATGGTCCCGGTAAGTATAGGGAGTAGAAAGGTCTCCTATCAAGATAACGAGCAGGTTTCTGCTGGAGCCGCGCAGAAATACTACCGCTGGAAGCATTTTCTAATGTCTTTTCTGCCCAAGCCATCTCAATGTGCTTATCTCTCACTTATTTCGTCCATGGCAAGTTTGAATTTTCACCTGTTTGAAATTAAAAAAAAAAAAAAACGCTTTCAGTTTGCATTACTCCCTGTATGTAGATCATGTGATATTACAGGAAGCTTTATATCTCATCATGCATTGCCTTAGCGTTTAGCAGCATTTTTCCGCATTTAGCGCCGTTTTTCCATGTTTGCGGTTTTTAGCGTTTTTTTGGCCAAAAAAAAGTCCAAAAACGCCAGTTTGAGGCGTTTTACCATGTTTTGACACATTTTCCAGCGCTAGAGCGTTTTTACAGCTAAAAAACTAATCTAGAAACCCACTAGTCCTGGGTTATTTTTTGAGCCAAAAAACGTCCCTGCCAAAAAATGTTAATTACAGTCTATGTGTGTATGGCCACATAGGATAACATGCTGGGGGGTTTAGTGGCTGCAGAAAAAAACGTCAAAAGCCAAAAACAGCAGCTGTAAAAACATCCAGTATGCATGAGGACTTAGCAGTGAAACAACACCTTCCTGTC